CTCCTTCTGGGAAGAAGAAGCACAAGGAAATTGGTCAACTGATGAGCTTGAAACATGGGATGTGGCAATGCGTAGAACATTTATAACTGATGAAAATGCGGTCAACTTACCAGCAACTTCTGACGGTATCAGCTTCAGCAGCAATTCTCCAAAATTTAACTTCATGTTCCTCATTGCCTGTCCAATGCCTGGAGATTTACCTGGCCTGGTTTGGTGATGGCTGAGCTTGTTAAGGTCAATCCTAGCAAGAAACTGTAGGCTTTTGGGAATGTTGTGTTCCATTTTTCCGGATCAACTGAAACATAGTTCTTTTCATGAGAAATAAATCTAATGTAAGTAATAATCACCGTGTCTATAGTGTTCATGGGATGTCTAAGAAAATAATTTACAGCTGATATCACAAGAAATTTGAGGAACAGTATATACTATATCAATCGGTAAGACTTTGCATGATGAGTATGAGCTGATGGTAGAGGAAATTAATTAAACACAGTGTAGCATGCCAGCAGGGCTAGAGAACTTAACTTAATGGAGATACCTTAATTAAAACCTATGCAAGGATCATCAATATTTTTTCATGTTCTATACTGATCAAGAACATAGAAAATGCATGATAAAGACCGGTGCATGATGGGACTTACATCTGGATGATGAATTTCCTGCTCATTTTCTTCAAGTTACCAGATGAAGCGGTTCGCCAAAGATGTATGTATTTGCTCGATCATATGTTTGTTAAGAAATATAATACAAATGGCTTAATATAACATGACTTAAATCTCTTTACCTTCATGGTAAAAGAAGGGCGAATAATGTTTAGAGTTATCACAGGCGTACCAGACAACACAAATTATAACCTATGGTAATAAAAAAATAATTTAATACAGGAGCTGCAGAGATAAACAGAAATATGTGTCATTTATACAAATCATTTTCTTGATTCAAAGGTCCAAGGACGTCCACATAATTTAGATCTCAATGACTTATTTGCTCAATGAAACCTTTGTTCCACGTGATTCCTATTTCTATGCTATGTGAATTGCTGGCATTTGTTCATCCAGAAAATCAGATTGCAGCTCTGCTGCAAGATCATGTTTTATGTTGTCTGATGATGTAAACAATAACTCAGAAAACCAAATTAAATAATAGGTAAAGAATAAGCTGAAAAGGAAGGAAAATACATAGCTTGATATTATATCCTCCTCCTTGTTGGTTTTCAACAACAAAGCAAAAGAATTCATTTCTTGATTTTGTTTTTCCTTTACCTCCCAATCCAATACATACAAGGCATTGTTTACCTTGCAGGGAAGGCAACTGAGGAAAAGGACCATGAAGTTTCAGGTACAAGCTAAAGTGGCAAATTTTGCAAGGCAAGTAAAATTACAAGGCAGAACCAATGATGTAACTCTTAAGAATGTAATGCCCAAGATCAAGTGCCGCAATAAGATTCGTTGCGTTGCGCCCTTTTCTGTCATCGACATTGAAGTGTTAAAAGTAACATCAATCTTCGGTTTGCCAAGTACTTAACCAGTAAGAAGAAAGTATCAATCAGTGAGGAACATAGAGTCAAAAAAGCAAATCACTTTTTCAAGCATCATAGTTTCTTACTTTCTACCACTTAAGAACAGGGCACGAATTTGAAGTTCAGGGCATTTCGAGCAGAATACATCATTAATTAATACAGATTAAAGAACACGCAAGTAATAAAGATACAATGAATAACAGTGGAGATAAATGTTACCTCTCCTAGTCAGGAACTCTGTATATTTACAAGGATTCACGAAGATTTCAAGCTCTAGAAACTTTTATTTATTCCAATTACAAAAGCTGGTCACCCCCAGTTCAAAACTCGTATTTTCAAACATACCAACTGCTACTTAAGTAGGCAGGTTTATTGAAATCCAAAAGAATCACACATCCAATATTAACTGATGAAGGACCAACTCTCATCCCTCTATAAATCACCTCTTTATTGCCTAAGAAACACTTATTCCCCATGACTGATATTTTATCTATAGATTTAATGTTTAACTCGATCCTTTCGCCTAACTGTGGATAGACCCCCCCTGTAGTTTTATCGTCGCAGATAGAACCCCTGAGTGCTTTTTGACGATTTACCGTCAGAGAAAGAGAAATTCTTTTTTCTGAAAGACCTCCTGAGGGGTAAACGAGCCACAAAATTTTAACTCAGGGGTCTATCTGCAACCAACAATAGAACTACAGGTAGTCTACCCGCAATCTGGTGATTTAACTCTGGAGTCCATCTTTTATAGCCATTCTTGACTGCAACCCAATCCTTTGCTTCCAGTCCCATGCTCACTCATGCTTCCACTAGACAAACCTTTTACGCCTTGACATACCTGCCTACTTCTGCCTGTTCTCAAAGGACCAGAGCTCGAATACATGCGAACAGAACTTGAATCATCCCTATTATATCTTTCCGATATACTAAACATGTCGGATACTGATATCACTGTTTCTTCTTCAAGACCTAAATCTCTACTGATCCTTATTTCTCTATCTGAAACATTTAACTCCTGTTGACTGCAACTGCCCGAGTTCTCATTGCACACTAACTTCAAGGCTTGGACCACTTCACCCATAAATGGCCGCTGAGAGACTTCAGGCTGGACACACATTGAGGCAATGGCTGCAACTTTCGCCAAACTGTCAAATGAGAAGTTATTGCCGAGCGATGGGTCTACAATAGCTTCTAACCCTTCTTTGCTTGTGAGAAGAGGACGAGCCCATGTAACTAAATTTTCTTGCCCGGGAGATCTCAGCATGTCCACTGGCTTTCTACCCGTGAGAAGCTCAAGAAGGACAACTCCATAGCTGTAAACATCGCTTTTTACAAGGAGATGCCCCGTCATAGCATACTCAGGTGCCACATAACTGAGAGGAAAAGGAGGGTAGCTTACGTTATTGAAAAAAATAAGTAAATTGCCAGCAGAGAAAGAAGGGTAAAGTTCATAATTTTGCAGGAAAGTCCCTGAGGTTTGTTTTTCCTACTGAATCACCGAAATTTTTCCCACAAACCCCCCAAATCTCCAAAGATTCTCAAACAACCACCAATGAAGTTCTGACTTTTCCCTCAAAACCCAAAAAAGCAAGAAGAAGAGGAGAAGATGAGCCCCAGAGAAAACAAGGAAAGAACAGAATTGAGCCGATAATAAGGTCCTCCAATCGCAACAGACACAAGTGGGGTTTTTGGGGGTTGGGGGTTAATATGGGACACATTGGAGTTTTGGAGGTTTTGTGGGAAAACATTTCGGAGAAAACCAAAGTTCAGGGGCCTTTCGTGGTAAACGCCCCAAAATTTTGGGGGGGCTTTGTGAAATTTACTCAAGAAAGACGTTTGAGGGAACTTCATACCCAAAAGTTCCCATAACACGTGTTGAAATGTGCTCGTTTTGTTCACCCAATGCTGCCCTTGCCAGGCCAAAATCACAAACTTTGGGTGTAAAATCGTACTCCAGCAAGATATTGCTAGATTTGAAATCTCGATGTATTACATGAGGGTCTGAATCTTCATGAAGATAGGCTAGACAGCGAGCTGCACCAAGTGCAATCTTCATTCGAGAATTCCAATCGAGTGGGGTGATTTCCTTGTCTCCTCCTATAAGAACTCACAGCCAAAAGTTTTCATGTTAGGAGAATGACAAGTGAAAAAAAGGGTTAATTGCACATATACCCCTGTAGCATTGTTGTTTTGTACTTACTGCCCTTGTAGTTTGATTGTTGCAGATAGGCCCCGTAGGTTAAGGTTTTTTGACTCTTTTATTCTCACAGACTCGCTAATTTCACCAAGGGGCAATAGCTGCCAAAATTTTCACGAAGGGTAAATGAGCCAAAAAAAATAACCCAGGAGATCTTCTGCAACAATGAAACTACTGGGGTAGCAAGTGCAAAACAGCGCCACTACATGGGGTGGGGTAACCATAAACAAATCATGAGGATTTTCACTCAGAAACAAAAGATCTGCTCACCATACAAATGAGACTCTACACTGCCATTGGGAATGAGTTCATAAACTAAACAGCGGAGGTATTCCTCTGTGCATATACCAAGCAGCTTGACTAGGTTTCTGTGATGCAAGCGACTAAGCATCTCAACCTCTGCCATGAATTCTCTTATACCCTGTTGATCATCTCTCTTAAGAACCTTTACTGCCACTTGAGTTCCATCTTTGAGAGTACCTTCATACACAAGCCCAAAGCCCCCTTCTCCAATTATTCTAGAATCGTTGAAATTATTTGTAGCATTTTCTATTTCTGATAAACTGAATGTTTTCACTGAGCCTATATGAGTTGCAATACTCGAACTCATCGAAACTGATCCTGAGCTGAGCCTGCTTCCAAATCTAGAGAATCCAGCCCCTGCAGTAAATTAAATATAACGTACAGGAATCATAAGTAATTTAGGTTTAGTTCATTTTTCCCATAAGGAACTTAAGTGCTCTAAGCTGTGAAGCCCTCGACGAAGTTTGCGATTGTGACTCCCTGTTATACAAAGTAAATGATATTATATTTATATGTGAAGGCACGACACCCATGAAGCTTGATTTTTTTTCGCATTTTCTTTATTAAGAAAATAGCAAATATACAATATTAGAAATTTTTTACCATAGTATTTTACTAATGTTTGCTTGTCTATCCATGACGATTAGGGGTGCATACGGTCTGGATACAGCTCGGAAATGATATTTATCATTTCCATATCTGCTCACCAATCACGGATAAGGATATGCCTCAGTTAGAAAAATTCATATTCATATCCGCTAAAATCTAATACGTATATGGATATGCATACGAATATATTAGCGGATATGCGTGTGGATACAAAACAGATGATAAAACTAGATAATATTGAAAAAACTATAGTTCACATGATACAAGAGAGTTCATTAATGTGTTTGTTATATCTGAAAAACTAAGATTAGATATATTGATCATCAAAATTAACCTCAAATCCAATAATCTTAGGATTAAAACTGTTACAACAATATGACCATTATATATTCATATATTTCGGAAACGGGTCTGGATACTTCAGTACATAACCATATCTGTAACATATCCTATCGGTTATAGAATTTAGTAACCGTATCCGTATCTATAGTAACCATATCCATATCTTAATAGATACAGATACGGATATTTCCTCGAATACAGATATTTTTGTGCATCCCTAATAATGATGAAGCACAACAGAATCGTTAATTATCAATCACTTTCAGTTTCTTTTAACTTTTCTCTGTTCAGTGATTATGTACATTACTTAGTTAATAACTGATAAATAACAGATAAAGAATGACGGTTGATAATTTTACAGTATTTTACCTGATGATTTCATAAAGGTTGGCAGTGAAGTAAGAAGAACTGGCTTGGTCTGATGTTTGTAATAACTATTTCTAAGAAACAAAGCCAGAGCAATTCCGACACAGAGGAGTAGGGTCATTATACATGAAACAACGATAACAGCAGCTAAGCTACTGCTATGTTTTTCTTTTGGTTTATTCACATCAACTGCAAACGGATGTATTATCACTGGGTTGTTTCCATAACCAAATGCTCGTGTCGGGGCTGCAGGTGGAGATGGAGGTAAACCTGTAAAAATTCAAGGAGCAAAAAGGAATTTGAAGAAATCAGTTTTGAACAGAAGTAATGGATTCTAAGAAAATAACGTGTTTCGACAGCCATTCCTCTTGTAATAAATTATTAAAAGAAAAAACCAGAAGAAAATAAGCGAACTAAAATTTTCTATTCCTAAAAACTTTTAGCCCTAAATTACTGCCTCACATAGGAGTACACAAGACACAGCAATGAGATAGGGATTCTCACCTGGATAGAGAACATACAGTACATCATAATTCCCAAAATATGATGTTTTTATGGAGAATTGTTTGTGCCAGAACTTCTTGTAGGCTGAAAATGCTGTGTTGTTATCAAACTTTTCTCCACGAGGCACTAGATTAATCAATACAATGGTCTTCTCAGGCTCACCACTGGCAGCATTTGCTCCCATAATTCGAACCTGACTTTGTTCCATCAAAACTCCAGATGCAATTTCCTGGGCGAGCTCCGAGACTAAAGGGAAGAATGCATATAATGCTACACTTACTCGAAGTCCAACTTTCATGGGCAAAACACAGGAACATGGAGTCCCTGGGGGCGTATTTGTTAAAGGCTCTGTGCAAAAAGTAGAGCTGCAATCTGTATGCAGAGAAAACACTACTGTTATTTTCTGCCCCAAGTTCTAATGGAATCAACATATCTTTGAATTGTTATGCAAATGTAAGTCCAGCCCCATTGATATTGCAAATTTAAGAGCAGCAAGAAGAGGCAGAAACAATTTGTACAATCACAGCACAACTGGTCCATCACAAATTTAAACCAGCACTAAAAACAAAAGTTATTTGCACTTAAATACTCCAAAATGTACGCCATTTTGAACTTTGATACCCCAAAGATTCTTTTTCCCCCAAAAATATCCCGAAGTTAAAACAAACATTTAAACTTCGATACCCTATAATTAGTTAACAGGGGGTTTAAACTTTTCAGAACTTTGAGGTATTTTTTGGGAAGAGAAACCTTGGGGTATCCAAGTTAAAGATGGTGTAAATTGGGGTATTTAAGTGCAAATAAACCTGAAAACTATGAAGATATAAAGTTTGGATAAAAGTTCGTTGTCAACATGTACAAAATCTACAGATTAAATGGCTAAATTACTGTCCCAAGTCCCAACAGCAAGATTTCTAAACAAAAGGACTAAAAAACATGAAAGCAAGCATGAATACCGAGATTAGGAGGCGGAGGTGGCAATGATTTAACAGGTTGTGGCCATGGCGCTGGTTGATTCTTTGAGAAAGATCCAGAAGGAGAAACCACAGGCGGATTAATGGGTGCTGTAGACATGAGAATAAGATTACACAAAGAAAGAAAAAATAGGAAATACATGGAGAAATATATCCTATTTACCATGCATATGAAAAGCTGTTGATGTTGATGAAGGTGCCGGGGCCCTTTCGTTATTAGCTGAAGGATACGGAGCATTGATAGGAGAGCGAGAAGAGCCTGCAACATAGAACCTGGTTTAATTAGAACAAATTTCTTGTTATTTCCCTGTATTAATTCTTCTTATTTGACTTTACCATGAATGAAAGGAGGAGAAGCACGGTGCCTTCTCCCCTTTCTCTGAATTACTTGTAGAGGATGTGAAGGAGCTGAAGGGGTCACATGATCTTTAATTAAAATGAAAAATATATGCAGAAAAAAACATGGTTGACAAACTATTACCATACTTTATTCACAGATATAAGTATATAACAACCTGGGAGGTAAGAAGGAGAGAGTACAAAAGCAGGAGCTAATGCAGGGCTGTGAAATATCCTTTCTACCGGAGGTAGGGGACGTGAAGTGGAAGCAGCATGGGAATGATGTGCAGGACTTTGCACTGAAATAGGTCCTGTAGGTAAGATTATACATAAAATTAGTATTTGTGAATCTGTTAGTTTCGGAATTGTTAAGAATAATATGTACCTTTTAAATGTGAACGATCCGTAGGGTATACATGGCTTGATAGTTCACTTGGTGGTAGAGCAACAAACCTCCCGGACCTATTTATGTAGTCAGCGGGAGAACTAATTGATGCTGTAAAAGGAAACAAACATTTAAGAACATTGTAAAACTGCTTATAGTGAATTAAGTTTATTTAATATTGTTTACTTCTCATGTAATCCTTTCTCTAATAGATAGGCATTATAGAGGCGGCCAGGCAGAGAATCTAGGGTGTGCATAAAACATAAATCTAAGTTTAAATTTTCAATCATATTTTTCTGATGATCTAATCTCTGCATTGCATAGAACATAAAAATGAAAATCTAAGTCTTAATTGTTAACTCCTTCAGCCCTGCTAGATTGAGAACCATCGATAATGGATAGAAGAGGATTCAAATTAGTATCATGATCCCCAGATGACTAATAGTTAGATGACTAGACTGTACAATTCTAAACTGAACATATGCAAGAGATGACTGATAACAGCGAATGGCTTCTGAAACTAAGGAACTTTGACATGCAAAGAATTACTGCTTCTGAAAGCATCGTTAATGTCGTGTGTCTTGAATTCTATGACTACAATTCATTTGATTATCAGAGCCGAATTAGTAATGTGGAAATAAAAATATTGCAGAAGAAACTTTTGTAATGGAGGAAAGTGCTTGTGCAATGAGGTTTCTATATAGAATATGATTATATGCATTTAAATTCAGTGACTGTTATGAGATATTGGAGTGCATTTAGGATCAGAATTTGAATGGTATTGCACTATTTCTCTCCTTACAACTTGATTAGTGAATATATGCTCATCCTTTCCCACGAACAGAAGCCAGGGGCCAAATCACGTAAATCTCCATGTACTTTCGTGCCTTTCTATACTCGATAATTTTATATTTGTGCTTCGAGCAATTCTTTCTTCAGGGACTTTGTCGCAACAATTACAATGTTTTTGTCTAGGATTTTGTTATAACAATTATCACGAGTAATTTGATGGTATCGGTGAAAGATTCCGGAAAGGATCGTTTAGATTAATCTATATCCCAATGTCATCTGAAAGCTCCAAAACTAGTTTTTGGAAAATAAAAATGCACACATTTCAACTCTAATCCCATGAAGTAACCTCTGATAGAATGTCTTGTTCCACATTCATCTCTATCAAGCCCAAGCACTGGAATTAAGCATATGCTGCCGAACTGAATTTCAACACTCTACAAAATAAGGGGAAATTTATTGTTACGAAAGTATGACCAACAATCTATTACCCTGTCCCCAACCAATGTCAATCAGGTACATAAATTCATCAAAAATAGTAACTTTTTACCCCCAATTAGTATTCGAATAAGAACACAAATACCTAAAATGACATAGAACCATAAAAACACATCAAAATGTGACTTTGGGGATGAAAGCATTTACCTCTGGATCCATGGATGCCTAAAACACCAAATGCAATGAAGAGAACCCATGAGAGAGAGATTATCTGCAGCCCTCTCATCCTCTGCTGCTTCCCCCTCAAAAAGCCCAACTCAGAGATCAAAATCCCCCAAAGAATTCTAACATCCCAAATGCATCTCAGAGTAAAGAGAAGTCATGGGATTAAAATCAAAAGGACCCACAAGCAATAATGGAAGCTCATTGTCAAAGGAGACAACACTGAACAAAACCCATGTCAAATTAATGGAAGGAAACAACAAAGAAGAACACAATGCAGATTCTTACGAAAGATTTGATTTTGGGAAATGGGTATATCTCACCTCCTGTCATCTTACTCGTTTGAGAGAGGCATCACTTCAGCAGAAAGCATAGCAATGTGCATTTGAAATTAGAAGAAAAACATGTGGGAGGTCATAAAAGTGACTTGAGAGGTCATTGAAGCATTTACTTCAGTTGTGTGGACTGGCGCTTTTTTCCCCTAATGTTTAGATTCTTTGTTTGGATCTGAGATTGTCTATTGTGAGAAGGACTAGAAGTGTCGTCGATTTATTTTATTTTTTATTTTAATTTTCTTTGGTAAATTTCACATACCCCTTCATCTTTTTGCTAACTTGGAGCTAACCACCTGAACTTAAAAAAATGTCGCTCGACCCCCCAAACTTTTGGGTATGTCAAAAAGTTCAAATATTTGCAATTACTCAACAACACCCTCACAGGTCACAGCGTAACCCCCGACTATTTTAGCATAACCCAACTTCCAAAATTATTTCAGAAAAACCCTGTGAACTTTTGATGAAGTTTCAAAAAACCCTTATTACCCCGTTTGGGGATATATGTCTAAAAACCACAAACATCTGGGGGCTTGTTTACGGTATTCCCAGAAATCAGGGGGATAATTGACATTTTTTGTAGTGCAGAGGAGGTATCTCAAAATGGTCAAAAGACGGGGGGGTTATGTGAAATTTACCCGTTCTTGTTTCCGTCTTGTTGGTCGGCAGATCTTGAGGAGCACGGGGATTGGATTATTATTAGCTTTTGTTGCAGGAGAGCTTTTAGTTGGGCCTCTTTTCAAGTGGGCCCGGGTTAACTGATGTTGATTCTCTCCGTCAGTGGTCCTAATGGCCAATCTAAGGATGCAAATTTAGGGACTTGTGATTTTTGGTAACGCAGCAAATTTTGTATTAACTTCCATTTAATGAGGAAACAATGGAGGATGGGTTGGCCGTGCAAGTTGGCAGAGACCATTCACCTAAGCCTTAATTGTTGTCCTGGTTAGTGTTACGTCAACTTGTAGTTAAATAACCAAACCAGGAAATAACCAAGAAGGAAGAAAGAGCAGAGACCACCAAAGGCTGTAAATTCCACCTCAGCTGTGTTCTAGTAGAAATATTTAAGTATCCTTGCTATTATGACCTCAAGAATTAATCATGTCTGTATGTATTTGGTCAAGAAACAGTAATACAGAATGTAGCAGGCTTCTTATGCGATGTGTGACTGCCGAATGACAATAATACAATCGAGTCGAATTGAATATTAAAATGTTTTTATTTACATTTGTGTAACATATTCAGATTTTAATCCAAATTTGAATAATTACCAAAAAAAAATTCTCTTGATTGACCTATGCGCTACTCTAACACCCATCCAACCTAGTTCTCATTCTTGTCTTGGTCTCTATGAAGGTCATCGGTTATTAGCAGTATTAGGTCTTCATGTCAAGAAGCCAATCTAAGGATTAGCACTATGCAGCTAGTAGCCTATACAGCAGGGACTCAAAGACAATGCTGACTGTGACAGGAAACTTTGGAGAGAGTGGTCTCGGTTTATTCTAGTTCTGGTACCTAACTTTAGAGTATTGCATCTCCAGAAGAATAAATATCTCTAATCTCACTTTTAAGTAGCAGAGGTTTTTAGTTCATTTCATGTTAATATGCTTAAAGGATGAGAGGTGTTTCCTTAAGTTACAGGTTTCATTAACTAAGTTTAGATAATACTGGCATTTAAGTGACAATGTATGTTATGAGGTACATAAATTGGTGAGGAAATCTTCTGCAAGTGAGTTTTAGAAGGCAAGAGAACGGTAGGCAGGATTGAAGGTAAAGCAAAGCAATGGATAGAAACATCCAAAGCAAATGTCAATGGGTCCCCCAATCTTCCAAACATTTTTGGTGGATTTTGGTTGCTCTCTTCAGCTGTATTCAATTGGATACATACAATTTTTGCATGTATAAGGTCCTTAATTCAATGGATACCTTGGATTTTTATTGATTAAGGAATCTCATGATAATTAGTAGAAGTGGTTATCTTTAATCTGCTTAAATCTCATCTAACTAATCTTAGGCTAGCTGTCATTCATGGTGTATAGAGAGACACTGATACTAGTTTATCATCTTCAGACTCGGACCAAAAGGGTCTTAAGTTCACAATGGATACGAGTCATAGACTCACATGACTAATAGATGAGTAGTTGATTAGTTAATTATTCACTCTCCAAGTCATTACAATATTTTAGATTATTAGGATCTTACATGGTCTTGTCATTGGATTCGTGTCCTCTCAACTACCATCAATAGTAATTCCTATTTAGACTTAGGGCTTGTTTGTTTCACCCTTTTATAGAATAGGATTAGTATTTGGGCTCTGACAGTGGCATTTTCGTAATTTTTGGATTCTTTGTGAATCCTATTCTGGAGTTTGACTCAGCAAAAATTTTGGGATTTCAATTCTCTTAAAGTAGCTACAGTTGTCCTTTTTTATAGAAACCCAATTCCGAGCTTTGGGTTCGGATTTGGACGAGATTTCTGACAGTGAGCTATGTCGTCGATTCCGATTCCGCATCTTCACGATTTCGATCCCTAAAATCTGGAATCGATGTTCCGCTCCCGCCTCATCTCCCTCTTCTTCGCGCCTCTGCTCCCGCGCTTCGTCTTCTTCAACCTGGGTTCGGGCCTCTTTCTCGAAACCCTAGCTGCTGGTTTCCACGAGCTTGTTGGTGGGTTTCTTGCCTTCGATTCTTGGTAATCCCTTCTGGTTGGGGTCTTCTTCAACTTGGGTTCGGGCCTCTTTCTCGATCTTGTTCTGGTTGGAGTGTGGCTACGGTGTTTTCTTTGACTTCGGTGGGTTTTTTGCTTGAACCCTCTGCAGTAAGGTATAAAAATTTCCCCCTCTTACTTTGGCTTATTTCTCCAGTGATTTGATGAATTAATTTAAATTTTGAAGCATATGAGAAATAGAGGCTGATAGCAATTTCAAAGATTTAAGCGATTAATTTCATAATATTAAAGCAAAACAATTCATGCGGGTATCTGTGTAGTGGATTTTTGGTAAATGTGCAAGAATTAGGTTGTTAGGTAGATTAATTTCATGCGGGTATCTGTGTAGAGATTAATTTCATAATATGTTTCAAATCAGTCTTTTAATAACTTTAATTGCTGTTTTTTTCCTTTATCTAATTTTTTTGTGTGCGTGTAAATTATTAGTAATCTAACCATATAGTTTGTTTGTTTTGGGTCTATCTTGCTTGTTTAGAATTGTGTGAGATGGAATGCAACATTAGTTAAAATAATTTTTATTTCAATTAGGTTTCTTGCTTTAAAAGAAATAAATATTTGTATCAATTATCTACTTAATTTTGATATCAGGTAAGCTTTCTGTTGTTGGTTGCTTTGTGCAGCATTTGCTGCTGCTGCTGGTTGCTTTGTGCAGCATTTGCTGCTGCTGGTTGCTGGTTTGTGCCTGTTTTGAGCTTTCTGCAGCAGTTGTTGCTGCTGGTTGCTTTGTGCAGCATTTTACTGCTGTTGCTGGTTGCTTTGTGCAGCATTTGCTGCTGCTGGTTGCTGGTTTGTGCCTGTTTTGAGCTTTCTGCAGCAGCTGCTGCTGCTGGTTGCTTTGTGCAGCATTTGCTGCTGCTGCTGGTTGCTTTGTGCCTGTTTTGAGCTCTCTGCAGCTCATACTGCTGCTGGTTGCTGGTTTGTGCCTGTTTTAAGCTTTCTGAAGCAGTTGTTGCTGCTGGTTGCTTTGTGCAGCATTTGCTGCTGCTGCTGGTTGCTGGTTTGTGCCTGTTTTGAGCTTTCTGCAGCAGTTGCTGCTGCTGCTGGTTGCTTTGTGTCTGTTTTGAGCTTTCTGCAGCTCATGCTGCTGCTGCTGGTTGGTTTGTTGCTGGTTTGTTGCTTTGTGCAGCATTTGCTGCTGCTGGTGGTGGTTGGTGTGTGCTTGTTTTGAGCTTTCTGCAACTCATGCTGGTTGTTGTTTCTTCCTGGTTTGTGCCTGTTTTGAGCTTTCTGCAGCTCATGCTCTTGCCTTTGTTTGTGCAGCATTTGCTGCTGCTGCTGGTTGGTTTGTGCCTGTTTTGAGCTTTGTGCAACTCATGCTGCTGCTGCTGGTTGGTTTGCCTTGCCTGTGGTTTTCCTTGCACTTGATATGTGGCAATGATGATGATCAACGTTTACTGAGAATGCAACCTAACTTACATCGTTTATTATATCCAGATGAGGCAATATTTGAGATGAGATTGCAGCCTACATTGAATTGGCAATGTCTAGGCGAGGCAATTCATCTTTATAATGCAATCTGTAATAAACATGTTTAAGTTATAGGTGGGGCAATCAATGATGACAAGTTGATCTATTACTGAGCCATACAATATCAATAAGAATTTGTACCCAGTTCAAACAACAGATTTCATTACATCCTCAGTAGTTTTTGCAAGTACAGGTACATGACATGAAGTTTGTAATAATTAAAATAACACAAAAATTTGCTAAGAAAATTGCAGAAATTTTCCAAACTAGTAGTTGATTTTCGACAAGTCTCAATTCTTTCTCCAGCTTCTTTGATTGCAAAATATATTTTTCTCCGTACCTATTTTCTTTGACATATTGGCTTCCTTGGTTGCTTGATGACTCTCCTCTTTCTTCAGCCCATTCGAAAAAATTGCATTCTTTATTTGGGAATTTTGCACACCCCCAATAACGCCTACCCTTATTTTTACCATTCTTGCACACTTTCATCGGTGTTCGGAGATGGCAGTCGCAATAAACTTCATAATCCTGCCAGCACTCTTCTGATATCATTTTCATGTGGGGACAACAAACTGAAGACAATGGGAATTTTATAAATGCTGAAATTAAGAATGTTTGGATTAATTGTGAGGCCTCAAGGTGAATTTATAGCCACCAAGTTCCACTTCTAGCCGTTGCTACAGTATTCTGACTAATACATTTGAAATCTGAATTTTTTGAGGCTTCAAAGAGCCGTTGCTACAGTGTTTCCAGCACAAAATATAAAATAATTGCCTCTTCTAGCCGTTGCTACAGGAATATTTAAATTGATAAAGAGGCTGCTGTTGCTACAGTGTTTATTCCCAAAAAAAGAGACTTTTTGAAGCAAACATAGTATTAGGAATTGGACCAATTCTATAAATGTTAGATTTCTAATCCTTTGGGTGAAACAAACATAGAATGCCAAAAAAATAGGATTCCATAAAACTTCAACTTGTCTATAAA